CTTCGCCTTGGGCATTTTTAATCTGTAGCTCTGCTCTAAAAGAACGTACGTACCTGGGCCCACCTACTATCCTCGGAAACGTAAAATGATTGGCTAGAAGTGTATCACAGCTCAGGAAAAAAAAGCACCGAAATGTGTGCTGCTTTTCGGTCTAGTTACTACCGTTTATGTCAGAACCGGTGCCGTCATGGCACCGGATACCGGTACCCATCCCTAGTCCCTCCACACATACAACTCGGTTCTGCTTGTCGCTACCCGATCCGTACCGGAAACCTGATCGGTACCCCGCATGCGCGAAAGGTGTCTACTTCCAGTCGAAGCATTTTACGATAGTTACGGGTCAGAGTATCTGTTAAGATGTTAAGAATAACAAGTATCTCTTAAAATGTTTCCGATAATGAAACATTTAATATAATGTAGACAAAAACAAATAAAAAGATAGTGACAGATCAGAACTCCCGATCCGTACCGCGCATGTGCAGGGGTTTTCTTCTTCTTCTGTTGGTTTAATGGCAGTGTACTCCCCAGTATAAGAGGATACTGCCCCCTGCTGACCGAGTGAATGAACCCTATTGTAAACTGAATTGGCGTCATTACAAACGTGTGTTAAATTTGATTTAGCGATAGTCGAGTGTGTTTATGCTTGTCTGTGAGGAGAGGATTGTTGGAATAGTGATGATAATGTCCGCTATCACTGTCAATTGCCAGTAAACACTTCATCTGGCTGCTGAATCTTCACGTGACACATTACAAAGTCTGTATTATTAACTGTCATTAGGCACCATTCTTCTTATTTCATGGCACTTTTGTTTTTTTACTTATTTGTCCCCACCCCCTCAGGTTTGACCTCTCATTCATTTAATTTTCTTTTAGTCTTAAATTAAACAAACAACATATGAAACAAAAGTAAAGCAAAACAAACCAAGCATGCAGAAATCAAAACAAGAAATAAGCAAGCCCCACCACAGTACAGTTTCTTTCATATGAAAAAGACAGAATGTGTAAATTTGCAGATTCACAAGTTATGGAAAAACAAACAAACAAAAGAACAAACAAAAAGAACAACAACACCATTACCAGCAACAGCACCGTCCTGGGTTAACCCCGTTTTCTTCATTCTTGTACTCATTTAAAATTAGGTTTTTATATTTTAAACTGTTTTATGTTTTTACTTTATTTTATTTCTTCAGTTAGACTGTTCCATAATTTAACTCCTGCAATTGAGATAGACATCGTTTTTAAAGTCATTCTAGCACTTTGTATTTTTAAATTCCACTTCCCTCTTAAGTTATACCCACCGTCTCTTTCTATGAACCATTTACAGATTTCTTTTGGAAGCAATTTATTTCTTACTTTATGTATTATTTGCGCTGTTTTAAGCTTCACCAATTCTTGGAATTTAAAAGCTTGCATTTTGACAAAGAGTGCATTTGTATGGTCCCTGTACCCACATTATTATTAATCTAATGGCCCTTTTCTGTATTATAGTTATTGTTAGTGTGTTACTTTTGTATGTTTACCCAGACCTCGACACAGTAGCTCATATATGGCAGTAGTAAAGCACAGTATAACATATGTTCTGATCCAACATGTGCTTTGCTTTCCCCACGACGGCCCCGTGCCAGTTTCCCCCGAACATCAGTGCTGTGTGGCTTCCAGCTCGTGGTCAATGATCACCCCAAGATATTTTATTTCATTGACTCTTTCTAAACATACATTGTCAACACATATTTCTACACTGATGTTTTTCTTTTGGTTTCCAAACAACATAAATCTGGTTTTATCGAGATTCAATGATAATTTATTTATATCAAACCACTTCTTTAATATCGTTAATTCCTGTGTGATCATCTCCAAAACCTGTGGCAATTCCACACCTGAACACAGTATATTTGTGTCATCTGCAAATATTACAAACTTTAAAATCTCCAATACTCTGCAGATATCATTTAAGTACATAATAAACATTTTTGGACCCAGTACTGAACCTTGAGGTACTCCACAAGCTATATCCATTAAATTAGATTTATATTCATTTATTTGTACATATTGTTGCCCATTCTCTACATGGATTTTTACCCAGTCCAAAACCACTCCCCTAAACCCACACCTTTCCAGTTTGTTATTAGAATTTCATGATTAACAGCATCAAACGCCTTCTTTAGATCTAAGAAAACGAGTGCGTACCTCTTATTATCCACACGTTCTGTCATCTCTTCCATTAAATCTATCAGTGCCAAAGCTGTTGACCTGTTGATCTGAACCCATACTCACCATCTGTCATTAATTCATGTTTTTCCACAAAACTGTCAAATCTTTTTATGAAGAGTTTTCCAGTATCTTAGAGAACTGGGAGAGTATTGACACTGGTCTATAGTTTGTAAAGTGATGCCTTTCACCAGTTTTGTAAATGGGAATAACTTTAGCAAAACCGCTGTTTGAAACGACAAGTTGAACATATATTTTAATGGTTTTACAACACCATCAATCTTTACTGTTACCATATCAATATCAGTCCAGTCTGTACTGGTTTTGTTCTCTATGTCATGAATCTCTTTCTCTTCCACTGCGCTTAAAAACATTGAGCTTCTATTGCTTTCAGTATTTTCACCAGTGTCCCATCAACCTTTATTTCTTCTGCCAGTTTTGGCCCTATGTTTACGAAGAATTCATTAAAGCCATTTACTATCTCTTCCATGTTATTAATACTTCTTGTCCCTCTATAAAGTACCCATCGTTATTCCCTGATCCATCTTTGATCCATCTTTGATTAATACGTTCCAGATATCTCTTGTGTTATCTTTATTGTGTTCCAACCTTTTAATGAAATACTCTGTTTTACAGGCTCTCATTATATTAGTTCATTTATTTTTGTAAGTTTTATACTTCCTTTCAGTTTCCATGGTTCTCTTTTTTATGAATGCTCGATATAGGGGATTCTTTTTTTGCTGGTATTTTGTAGTCCTCTGTGGTCTTCCTGCATAGTTGTTTTCCTGTTGATTTCAATTACTGGACAGTTTTTATCAAGTAACGTGTTAAATGTTCTTAAGAATCCTTCGTAAACTTTATTAACTTCGACCCCCGCTCTAACACGAAGCTCTCAACCTACAGCTCCAGCTTTGCCTCTTGTTATGCGACAGCCTCTAGTGATTAATACACGAACAGGTTCCTGCTGTTTAGGCTCAAAACAGTTTGATGTTTTTCGCCTACCTGAGGACAGCAGGACTCACCTGTGCTACACCAGCTAAACTCACTGCACCACCTCTCAGTCTGAGGAGCAGCTATGACACTTAATGTGACGGAGGAGGCCTCACCTTTGCTTTGCTCCTCCAGCTCCTCCACCCTCCCCCTCAGCTCCTCCGCCTGTCGGAGCGCTTCCTCCTTCAGTCCCTCCAGGCTCCGTCTCTGCTGCTCGGCCTGCACCTCTCCATCCCTCAGCCAGCTCTCCACCCTCCTCAGGATCTGACGCCGGCCCACCTCCTCCGCCTTCAGGCTCAGCACCAGCTCCTTCAGCCCTCGCAGTTCATCCCAGAGGATGGGGAGGGCCTGGGAGATGACCGCCGGCGGGGGGACAGAAGCCTCCGACTGGCCCCGACTGACAGAGCAGCAGAGCAGCAGAAACAGAGCAGCAGACCTTCTCGCCATTGTCCTCCACCTGCAGAAATCCTTCAGCACAAGGGCGAGGGGGTGGAGTCTCCCCACAAACACGATTCAAAACAAACAAGCAGAAAACACAAAACTGCAGTTTGTAAAAGTGGGTGTTATTAACAAGAATAACAAGAGCGAAAGCAGAGCAGCTTCACCCGCTTCCTCCTGAACCCTGCGCTCCATAAGCAGCTTACCCAAAGAAGAAAGGCTGCTTGCACTCACTCGGCATCCAGTAATCATTCGCCTCACAATAAAAAGGCTTTTCAGACCTTTCTCAGTCACGGCTTCCCACATGCTCCAACCCAGATAATCATGCAAAGAATTCCAAGTGTGAAAGAAAGAACTGTGGTTCACCTTCAGCCTTTATGAATCCGAGCACTGTTTCAACAGCTACGCTCTCACGTCCTCCTGCGCGTCAGAAAACAGCTGACAGCTGCAATAACTGCTCACTGAGCCATAATACCTCAACGGTACCAGGGTGGGTAACCGGAGTAACGTTGAACCCGAGGGCGGGTAACTGGAATAACTTTAACCCGAGGGCGGGTAACCGGAATAACTTTAACCTAGCATCCAAACGACGGCGGCCCCTACAACTCAAAATCGCAGCTCAGCTCAGGTGTGTGCACGTTGTGTGATTTGCAAAATAAAGCGCAGCTGACAGGAATCGTGTTAAAACCTGATCTGTCGCTGCTCAGGGATTCATCCACATCAGTAAGAGTGTAAATGAATACAGACAAAAGAGCTCGACATCAAAAAGAGAATGAGAGAGAGGCAGTCAAAGGAGAGAGCAGGGGTCAGTTAAAGTGTAGTTTAAATAAGGTTTAGTTTGTACTTACACCTACTGAGACTGAAGGCTGCATGGTGCTCTCAGGGACACAGAAAGCAGATCTGGGGTCAGATTCATCTGATACTGGCTAGAAATAAAATAAGAACTGTTTAGTACACTCACAACGAAAGAAAACGAACACATGTAAACTTCGCGTCAGGGAAGGTAAACCTTCACTACAAGCACACCTGAAGGAAGCCCAGGTGGGTCAGGAGGACCGTGGTAACGGATGGTTGCACTCATTACAGTCACTCTGTACAGTTCACGATCCTGCAGGTGGGCGTCAGCAGCATGCAGTGAAGTAAACCTGCAGATGTGACGAATGCCTGTTGGATGAATGAACGGCACCACACATCCCCAAACATTTTCATTAACTTTGACTGTAACAAGCTTTGTTGGCCCCGGGCTGACCCTGTTGTTCCGTCTCCACCCGTTTTGTTTTTCCACCAACCGTGCTGCTCGCCTGGTCTGACCTGTGCCACGAACACTATGCAGCCTGGGATCCCTGTGACATCACTGGAACTGCTCAGTTGTGTGAAATCATCACCTGTCCGCGCTCACCTTGTGCTTGCTGTGACAGCCTAATAAACAGACCCATCAGCTGGAGCCGTCCAATCAGACAGCCTGAGCTCAGGTGTTCACACCTGCAGAGCACAAGCAGCAGACGCTGACGTCCCGCCAGCATCGGCGGGTGAAGTCTTTAAATCTATCAACACAGCACGCCGTGGCGTGAATCGTGCGGTTACTGTGGAGATGCTGCGAGTCCTCACACAAACGGCTATTACAGGTGTACACTCACCTGTGCTTCAATCCACCTGCAGGCACAGGTGAAGCTGCCTGTACAGCATGTGGATGTCAGCACCTCCTGTGGCCCATGGACCCTGAGGTTAAAGGTCAACGCATGCACAATCTATTAAAAACTCAACTTCAGATTCAAAAAGCAGAAACAGGATTTTATTTCAAACGTCACACAAACTGAAACACTTCAAATAAAACATGTTCGTCCATAAACCGCCATCATCATCAATCCCACTTCAGAGTCACCAGCTCAGCGAAAAAGCGTGAGGCGGCTCGGTCTAGGTTTGATTCCAGCTGCTCTGTGATGGCAGCTCGATTTTCTAAACTGGAGCCAATCAGAAGAGACAATGATGCACGCTCCGCCCACAGGAAGAAACTTTTTTTTTTGAATGAGGCTGAAAATGTACAAGAAAAACTGAAAATAGTGTTTTAATAAAAATGAGTCAGGCTTGGAGTGGCCTCGGCGCCGGAGCACAATCCTCCAATCAGAGCGCATGTTGACCTCGTGGCATCCTGCAGTCTGCTGAATGCGAGCGCTTCCAGTTTCTCATCACGACCTTAAAGGTCACGTCAGGTCACCGTGACGCCGACACGCTGGAGACTGAGCCACGACTGTGCGTGGAGCTTACTGCAGAGATTTTATTGCAAAAGAGCTCCGCCCCTCCAGACTGTAACAACCTCGTCCAATCAGAGACTGAGCGGCTCCGCGATACGACCTCACAGTAGGAGAAAAAAAGTTAAACCAATCAAATCAGCAGTGATGCGTCAGCAGGACCTCTCAGCTCCTCAAACAGTACGTTTCTATTTGTAGAGTCTGAAGCGCTGATGGTGACCTCTGACCCCTGAGATCCAAACAAGCCCCAGGACTCCGCAGGGTCAGCGCTGGCCGGTGTAGGTTCTGAGCCAGGAGCTGACTGAAGCGGCGGCAGACGAGATCATCCCTCCGGTGTTGGCGGCGGGCTGCGAGACCTGCAGGGCACTCTGGGAAAGATCCATGGACTGCAGGAGGACAGAGGAGGAAGAGGAGAGGTTAGAGGTCACGAGGCGGAGCCCCGTAACTCTTCTGCACTGATGTCTGACCTATGGAGGTCAAAGTGACTCCTCCCCTCAGGCGCCCCCGCCCGCTGCTGCTCTAAGCGCGAGTCGTCCTTCACACCGAGTTAATAACCGATCGATAATAAGGGTTACGGATCTAAATGATCGAGCAGCTCGGCACAAACGCCTCAGGTGTGCTTACCTGTGAGGGGATATCACAGAACCGCGGGCTGGGCACCGTCTCCCAGTCCGTCCCCAGGTCTGTCTCGTCGTCCGTCACCGCTTCGTCTCCGCTCTCCTCCGCCGGCCCCTCCGCCTCCGGCTCCACGAACTCCATGGACTCCTCCAGGTCGGCGCACACCTCGAACGGACCCGTCCTGAAGGCACACGGGTAAACACTGCGTCACTCTCAATCAGCAGATTGCACCCACATTTTCCTGAAATCAAACACTTCACCCCCTCACTCACCTGCCCAGGCTGTCGTTGTCAGGGGCAACCAGAAACACGATGTTCCTCAGGGTGTGATGGAGGTGGAGCTTCTCGCTGTCAACGTGCTGAACACAGAGAAAGGGGGTGAGAGGCGGGAACACAGAGATGGATCAATCAATCAGAATCAGTCCTGCTGCGTCTCAGAGTCCCCTCGACACAGAAGACGGACAAACAAACAGCGTGCGAGTCTCACCTGAGAGAAGCACAGGTGGAGCACGTTGGTGTTGAGCTTGCTCAGAGCTCGGGTGAAGCGGTAGCGGCTCAGATTGTCTCCGCAGAACTCGCTGAGAAAACAAACAGCACAGAGCGAAGATTAAACATGGACGCTGCGACATCGGCAAAATCGACCTACCGCTGAGTGGCGCCACTTTTCAAACGTTCCCACCTGTTGCAGAGCTTCTTGGGCAGGTTGACGTCCAGCATGTGGGACAAGATGGTGACGAGCTGCGTGGTGTAGCAGAGGGCGGCGCTGATGGTGTGAGCCGGGTTAATGTGGTCCAGCTCTGCGGCAAAAGGAGGTCAAAGGTCAGGACAGGGTCACCTGAAACCTTTTCAAATCAAAGTTTTCTGAGCACCCACATAAAAATACTCATTAAAAAAAATTACAAGTAAATGAAGTATTTTAAAATAATTTTAAAATAAAAACAGACGAGTTATAATAACCATGATTTATATTATTATTATTATTATTATTATTATTGGGCGATCGTGGCTCAAGAGTTGGCAGTTCTTCGGAAGGTTAATCGGAAGGTTGCCGGTTCGAGCCCCGGCTCGGACAGTCTCGGTCGTTGTAGGTGAAGTGTCTTGCCCAAGGACACTTCACCTACCGCCTGCTGGTGTTGGCCAGAGGGGCCGATGGCGCGATATGGCAGCCTGGCTTCTGTCAGTCTGCCCCAGGGCAACTGTGGCTTGCCTCCACCAGTGTGTGGATGTGAGAGTGAATGAATAGTGGAATTGTAAAGCGCTTTGAGGGCCTCGAAAAGCGCTATATAAATGCAATCCATCATCATCATAACAACAACAACAACATCATCAGATAAATACAAGAACAAACTTCTGGCTGAGAAGAAATCTGAACTCAGGGAAAAAATGAGATCAGTTATCAGTACGACCACTAAAGCTCCGCCTCCTCACTCTTCACCTGGGCCCTGATTGGTGCTCTTCTCCTCCACCCAGCTGTAGTAAGCGGAGCAGTCTCCGTTGCTGGGCAGGGCCACAGGGGGCCCCGTGATGCTGATGCTTGTCTCTCCGTTCTGGTCGTCCCAGATCCAGCGTCCCGACAGGTAGGTGGTCCTCCGGGCCTCGGCCAGCTCGCTCACCGTGCTCGAGGTCAGCGGGTCACACTCAGCCAGGACGTCCGCGGGGTCTCTAATGGATACACGTAGGGGCAGAGAGTGGGATGACAACACGTTTGCTCCATCAGTCCCATCAGAGCGGTTCCTGAAACTCAGAAGGCTCCACCCCCTACCTGCTGCCCAGTTTCTCCTCCTGCATGGGGAAGATGTGGGTGGTAAGGTCGCGGATGTGCTCCCGCCGCAGTGCGGCGAGCTGGCTCAGTCGGCTCTGCAGGTCTCGACTGCGTTTCTCCATCAGCTCACCGAGGCGCCGGTTGTGGCGCTCGATCTTGTCGCGTTTCTCACCGTGGCGAACGGCCCGGCGCTGCAGCCGCTGGACGTCCTCCTGACACCTGGAGAGGCGCTCATTATCTGCGGCAGGAGGGGCAAACGGGTCACGCGACAGCTCACGAACCGTGTCAGTTTTAAACCTGCTGACTCTCACCGTGCCTCGCCTCCTCGTTGCCCCAGGCAACCGCCTCCTTTAGCTGCTCCACCTTCATCTTACACGACATGATCTTCCATTTCTGAGGACAACACACAGATACATCAATTTCTTCCAAACTGGCTTTTAATCAGATTTGAACTTTAATCTGAATGTTCACATTTTTATTTATGCAAACAAGTTAAAACATCTGAATTTATTTCTCTCGTTTCTGCCTCTCAGCTCTCGGCCGATGTTTGGAGGTCAGAGGTGCCACACAGATGCACCTGACGTGCTCTCGGAGAGGATGGGAGGAGCTACAGCGCATTAAAAACTGCAGGTGAGCTCACTGAAGGTAACATTACAGAGCAGAGGAGCGATAAGGAGGCAGCCACGTGCCTGAACGCACACCTATGCAGCTGTGAACTCACCATCTCGTCAGCCAGCAGCTTCCTGTTCATGGCCTGCACAACGCTGTGAGGACAGAAGATGTCACAGGTTATCGCCACAGCTGCTGTTACCAAATACACACAAACATCTGCAACACCTGCACAGGTGCTGCCTCAAACAGCTTCACTCGCCCTCCCTCAGTCCACAGCCGTTTGTGACATCACCTGTACCTGTGAGCAGCAGGTTTTACCTCTGCTGCAGCTGCTCCTTCTCCCCCTTCAGCTTCTTCAGCCGCTCAAGCTTCTCAGTGTACCTGCAGACAAACAGCAGACGAGTTCACCTGCAGTAGATAAAGCCTCACACCTGAGAGGATTTTACAGTTTCAGAACCAGAAGCTTGTGGGGATAGGTTAATTGATAAATCCAAATTGCCACTAGGTGTGAATGTGCAAGTGAATGTGAGTGTGAATGGTTGTCTGTCCCTGTGTGTTGGCCCTGCGACAGACTGGCGACCTGTCCAGGGTGTACCCCGCCTCTCGCCCTATGACAGCTGGGATAGGCTCCAGCGCCCCCCGCGACCCTGAAAAGGATAAGCGGAAGCGAATGGATGGATGGATGGAGAACCAGAAGCCAGCAGAACCAGACAGTCTGATTAAACCCAGCACACCTCTGCAACAGCTGCAATAACAAAGAGAAGGGGGGCCTGAGGTCATCTCACTGACTCCAGCCTGGGAAACGTCTAACCGGAGCATATGACCTCACTCCAGGGCTCGCAAAATCGCTAGCCCGACGTCCCGGGGCTAGCGATTTTTCCAGTCGGGCTACCAAAATCTATCTCTGCCCTGCCCGTCGGGCTATTGAAGTAAGGAAAAATGTATGTCAATGCTTTTGCATTCTTTCGGAAATGTAGCTGGGTAATTATGTCATTGGCATTGGTGAGCCACTGTCAATATGTGACATATTGAAATCGCGTTTGAATTTGCGCTTGTTTTTTTGCTTTCACTTTGCAATCGAGCGAACTGTGTATAGAGAGCGACAGCACTGATTGGTGAGTGATGATAATTTGTGCACCAATTCCTCTGACATCGTCTTATCAATCGTTAGCTTACTATGCAAACATGACAAGTGAAATCTCCCACAGCTTAAACATGTGAGAGGTTGATCGCGCAGAGAATCGCTGAGCTTATGTGAGTGCGTGTGTAAAAGCAGCAGGATATATATTTTAGTTCTGCTGAGCCAAATAAGACAGGTCAGGGTGAAGAAGTGACAGCCAAAGAAAAGCTTACCACAAAACGTAGAAGTTATGACAAATCAGACTATAAGGCAAAAAGAAAGTGCAGCTTTATGGTTTCATGGACGAAATAATTTCTGTGGCTGCAATATGACGAGCTAAATAACCAGGGCTGCACATAAGTGGTCCGCAGGTGCACATTCAGAATCAGAATACTTTATTGATCCCTGGGGGAAATTATTTTTTGTTACAGTGCTCCATTATAAACAAACATTAATAAGACAGACAATACGCTAACTAAGAATAGTACAATATATACATATACACACACATAAAGTCACTTATTAATAAATAGCTGAAAAAGAAACATGTGTAGCTATAGCAGTAAACAGTGTGTTGGGTGGAGGAGTTGTACAGGGAGCCACAGGCAGGAAAGATTTCCTGTGTCGTTCAGTGGTGCATTATGGGTAATCTCAGTCTCTCACTGAGCGTGCTCCTGTGACTGACCAGCATGTCATGGAGAGGGTGGGAGGTGTTATCCAACATTGTCTTTATCTTGGACAGCATCCGCCTCTCCGCCACACCTTGAGGGAGTCCAGCTCCATCCCCACAACATTACTGGCCTTACAGATCAGTTTATCGAGTCTGTTGGCATCTGCGACCCTCAGCCTTGGTGCGGAATGTGCCGTGAAAATCCCACTCTAGCGGACAAAAACACTGCCTTTTATATGGACGCAAATGCGTGTTGCAACTTATCTGGTGCGCAGTCTTTTATTTTGACAGCGAATGCGAACATGTGGACCACTTATGTGCACCCGTGTAAATAACATAATGTTCTGCCGGGTGTGTTGTTGGTTTTCCCTCGATATCTGAGTCGACAAGCGCCTTTGTTACTGGGACCAGTCATTTTAAGAAAGGCCCCCATTAGAAATGCAATAAATGCATTATTGCTCAGTCTGCAATATCTTTCCCAGAACAAACACCAATTGCAAATAGAACAGCGTACTATGTTGCAAAGAGTGAACGACCACTGGCAAAATTTAGCAGTCTTTGCAAACTTCAAAAAGCAAATGGCCTCGATCTTGGTTCCACTTGCCTCTTACCCGAGACTTCAGTGGAAATTTCAAATCCAGGATCTGACACAGACTGATTCATGTCCTACACAGTTCTTACAAGTTCATAGAAATTTCTGTTCAATTAGAACCAAGTATTTGAGTTGATGATTGTAATTTTTATACAATGTTGTGTTTGTGTGAATTTGTGTTTCAACAATTTTTTGATTAATGTTTTGTTTACGTTACAATAGTATACATTAAAGTATAATATTGTAACGGAAACAAAACATCAATCAAAAAATTGCTCTTTTTTATTCGGGCTACTTAAATTTATTTTGGGCTACCAAAAACTGAAGAGTCCCTGCCCGAAGGGCCACCAGGGATTTTGAACTTTTGCGAGCCCTGCACTCTAACACAGCAGCTAGCCACCAGGCTAACAATACCAGAGCAGGTCAACACACGATAGCCTGAGACCTAGCAGACTTACAAAACTGAGCTAACCGGCCAAATAAAGCTTAAAAAGGCTAACAGGCTAACCGAGGCTAATCTAGCTGAGCTAACAGTAACAAATGTCGATACAAAGGCTAACCGAGCTGAGCTAACAGGCTACCTGAAAGTTACTTAGCTAACCAATGTTAGCTGCTAATGCAAAGCGCCGTTTTCAGGTTAGTTTACACCTTTTTAAAGACGAGACGGTGCGACTGTGGAGTATTAGCGTGTCACACCTCCGGTCATTACACCGTAACTTCTGACGTTTGAGAAAATAAAGAAGAGTTTCTGATTTTAACAATAATCGCGCTTCGATTTAGCTGAAACACCTGTTTCACCACAGCAGTGTTATTTGGGCTCCATGCTTCGGCTAATGTCCCCACCAACAGAGCAGTCAGACAAAGAAAGCCGTGAAAAGCGTTTTTTAAGACTCAGTCGGTGCTCACAACGACGCCGAACGGCACCGACAGCTCCCGTTAACCCCAGGCGAAACGGAGCAGCTCCCCGGTGCTGCGTGTCCGCAGAGGAACGTAGGAATGGGAAACTTTGAGCGTGCGTCGGTGGAATTCGGCTCCGGTGTTTACCTCTCTGTGTTCCTGCCGTCGAAGTACACAAAGTCTCCGGCCTGCACGCAGCGAGCGCAGGTAAGCCTGCGGCGGGAGGTGCTGCACAGAGGGCAGCGCTCCACGGCCACGTACAGCCCCTCCGCGTCGTCCACGGACTCCAGCATAACGCAGCCCTGCGCGGAATGGGCCGAGGCCGGCAGTGGAGGGCGCGGTGACGGCCGGGCCGCAGAGGCTGGAGCGGGCCGGGCCAGGCCGGCGGAGGACGCCATGCTAGCTGCGCTGTCTGCGGCTCCGCGAAGGTCGGCCTGCCGCTAACGTCTCATAATTTAGAGCCAACGCACAGCTGTAACCCGAGGACAGACCGCCACTACCTCTTTCCTCTAACAGCGTGACGGGTTTGTTTATCTGATGGCGTCACGAGTGGGCGGGGTCAGGCATACGTCACCATAAAAACATGGGAGGTTGTTAAAAGTAATTCTGCTCACAGAGCTCAACGTGAACGACTCATCAGGTGATCGGAGAGTTGGTGGTTCGATTCCTGGCTTCCACATCTGCATGCCAAATATCCTTATAGAGGATACGAACCCCGGGTCACTCTCTGATGCTCCGACGGAGTGTGGATGTTGTACAAAGCACCGAGTGCTGCATAAGAATCAGTCCATTTATTCTGTGAAGTTTTCATGAACTCTGCAACCCCCACGGAGATTTAAACACGAGCCTCCCATTGGGTCATTACTAGGTCATTACTGCAGGGATTAATAGGTTTAACAATTTCTATGACTCTGTGGTGGCCTCAGCCATCTTTTATGGTGTGGTCTACTGGGGCGGCAGCATCTCTGCCGGGGACAGGAAGAGACTGAACAGGCTGATCAGAAGGGCCAGCTCTGTTCTAGGATGGCCTCTGGACCCAGTGGAGGTGGTGAGTGATAGGAGAACGGCAGCTAAGCTTTCATTCCTGTTGGACAACATCTCCCAGCCCATGCAGGAGACTGACAGCACTGAGCAGCTCCTTCAGTGGCTGCAGCACCCACGGTGACTCTACAACAAAGACTCCAACTGATCAAACACATCCACACATGTGCAATACTCTTTTCTGACAAAGTTGCATTTTTACTCAGTTGTTTAAAGCACTTGAATTTATTTATTTTTATCCTATCGTATATTTTATTCTATTCTGTACAGTTGTGTATAGTATATTATTCTTATTGTATTCCAGTGTTCTTTAATTTTTGCTATACAACTTTGCACTGTCCACTTTTTGCTGTGACAAAACAAATTTCCCGCGTGTGGGACTAAAAGTTTCTTTTCTTATCGTAACTGGGAACAGCCGAAAAGCTCCCAAACTCAGTTTCATCATAACAACAATTAACTCACAAAAAAAGTCAGCTTCAGTGAACAAGTGAGGATCTCAGAGAGGAGCACTCTCAGATGTCTTAAAAAAAAAAACCCAAAAAAAAACAACCTGTGGGGCGACATGTGTTGTGACTGTGGGAAATTAGAAGGATCCAATTATTGGTGTTCTTCGAGCAAACAAAATCACGAGTGAAACGTGGAAGGACAGAAGCGAACCATCATCTCCGATCTTCTCCAGGCTGGGAAAGGTTGCGTGGGCTGATGAGCTCCTGCCCGAGGTAACTCGTGCCTCAAGTCTACAGCGCAGGTTATGATCCAATCAGGTTTTAGTTCAGCCACATCATATGACCTACAAAGTTATTCGTCTGTGGGGTTTAGTTTAGATGACAGACAAATGAAACGATACCACAGCAGTGCACGCCGTCCTCACAGCTACAGGTGGGCCGATGAACCATCAGCGTGAGACTGAGGGTTTGTTGCTGCTGCGTGTTTGTCCAGGATCGTCAAAGACTCGAACCTGAGCCCAGTTCACAAACCGAAGGCCGTCTCTGAATGTCTGATCAGTCAGGTGAAGGCCTGCCCTTCAGAATAAAACCGCTGTAATGTTTTTCAGAATAAAGTTTGAAAGCCATCTTTAAAGGTTATGAAGAGCAGTTTGTTGGAATAACGTAATCCAGATGAGACTGTCTTTTTGTATCTGGTGTGTTTCCCACAATTACAGAAGCTCAGGTGTGAAAAGCTCAGTATTAAATTTGGGGTTTTGAGTGACACCTTCTTCCAAACTGTTCCTGCGCTCCAGCTTCAACCGCTCAGTAAAGATGGTTTTAAGGGCCGTACAACGTACACAGAAACCTTGATTATTTTCAACAGCTGATGTCTCCACATTTATTCACTCAGTGGAAATGTGTGTATGAAAACACTGAAGTTACATGACTCTTAGAAAACAGATTCTCAGGATGGTGAACTCTTGAGCACAGACTAAAACATATCCCATCCCATAACTCTGCAGAGCGACTCAAAGTAAAACATATTTAGCCCAAATATCGAATCAGATATGTACACATGAACAGGAAGTGCCGCTCTCACTGCTTCCTGAAGCCCTTCAGGATTGGATAAATGTTCTCGAACGCTTCGTAGATCTCGGCTCGCTCTTTGGCTCCTGGAAGGCAACAGCTCGGTGATTAGCACGGTGTCATTCGGTCCCATTTCATGATTATAAGAGTCACATTTCTGAGACATTTTCAAAATAAAATACAGCATGGATAGAAAGCAGCCGGTGTTACGTCATCATTTAGTCATGTTTCTACAGTTTTTTTTGCAGGAAGTCGTTTTTTTTAAGATCAGATCCACATTTTGGACTTAGCAACAAATTGAAGACACGACAGATTTTCAGTTTACTTTGTATTTCAAAGATATTTTAAAGATCATATCATTTTCTTTAAATAGGATCGTTTTGGCCTCTTAATTGGATAGAGACAGTGGGCACAGAGCACAGGTCGGACTTGAAACCCAGCCGCTACTTTGTGGCCACGCCCCTTGCCGGTAAAGGTGAGCTTAAAGGTGCCCTTTAAGATCATGTGACTGCAGTCATTTTGTAAATGAAAGGCCTGTTTGCAGATCTGTGTTGAACGACAGACTTAATAATGATTTCATACGAAGAAGAGTTTTGTCTGTAATCTGGTGACAGATCAGTGCTGAAGCTTCAGTTTGTGTCTGTGCTGATGAACTCTGATGAGTGGAGGCGATTACCCGTCAGAACCACCTTCCCCGACACAAAAATGAGCAGGACGATTCGAGGCTTCACCATCCGGTAGATAAGTCCCGGAAACAGCTCCGGCTCGTAACTGTGGAGGGAACGCAGCGCCGGTCTGAGGAGCGCTTTAAATCAAGGTTAAACACCACGGGGATCAGGTGCGCTTCTTACCTGCTGAACTGCTGGTGGGTCAGAACCAGTCCTTCCAGTCTGATAGGGAAGCACACGTCACAGCTGGCCACCATGTTCTGAATCTTGAACTCCAGGAAGCGGGCGGGGAAACCGAGTTTCTGCACCACCCGGGCGTATTTCCGGGCCGCCAGGCGCGACTGCTCCTCACTGCACGTGCTCAGACACAGACGTGAGGGAGATTACGCTTCAACACAGCATGCTGCTCACACCTGAACCATCTGTGTGATGGACTGACCTCTTGGCTCCTGTGCACACCATCTTCCCAGAGCTGAAGATCAGAGCTGTTGTTCGTGGCTCGCGGATCCTCATGATGACCGCAGCAAAGCGCTGAAATGACACGAGAGCGATGAACCCCGCTGGATGGCGTGGGATTCAGATCTGAATTTTCAGCGATGTCAGTACCTTTGGGTTGTACTCGGCGTTTCGGGCCTGCAGGGCGATGAACTTCAGATCCAGCGGACAGCCCAGATTCACCGTGGAGACGATGTTCCTGCACAGGAAGCAAAGCAGGAAGTGAAGGTTAACCCGTGCCCCATGTCTGAAACCCACCACTCACACGACAGTTTGGACGCCTGCGAGCAAGATGAGTTTAAAGGCACCTTTTGTTATCATCACCACCAGGGGGCGGCGTTTCACCTGTGGGCGCTGCCTCGGTGCTCAGTCACAGCAGTTATTTCTTCACTTCCTGCTGTACTCAGGACTTTACCGTCATGAGCTTTAACCTTGTCACTACCCGATCCGTACCGGAAACACGATCGGTACCCCGCATGTGCGAAAGGTGTCTACTTCCGGTCGAAGCATTTTACGATAGTTACAGGTCAGAGTATCTGTTAAGATGTTAAGAATAACAAGTATCTCTTAAAATGTTTCCGATAATGAAACATTTAATATAATGTAGACAAAAACAAAAAAATAAAAAGATAGTGACAGATCGGGACTCCCAATCCTTACTGCGCATGTGCAAAGTTGGACCGTACAAATCCGGTCTACCCTGTCACTACCCGATCCGTACCGGAAACCCGATCGGTACCCCGCATCGTAAAATGCTTCGACCGGAAGTAGACACCTTTCGCGCATGCGGGGTACCGATCGGGTTTCCGGTACGGATTGGGTAGTTACATACCCGATCCGTACCGTGCATGTGCAGGGGTTTTCTTCTTCTTCTGTTCATTTAATGGCAGTGTACTCCCCAGTGTACGAGGATACCGCCACCTGCTGACCGAGCGAATAAACCCTATTGTAAACTGAATTAGCGTCATTACAAACGTGTGTTAAATGTGATTTAGTGATAATCGAGTGTGTTTATGCTTGTCTGTGTGGAGAGGATTGTTGCAAAAGTGATGATGATGTCCGCTGTCACTGTCAATTGCCAGTAAACACGTCATCTGGCTGCTGAATCTTCGCGTGACATATTATAAAGTCTGTATTATTAACTCTGTCATTAGGCGCCATTCTTCTTATTTTACGGCGCTGTTGTTCAATCGGGGAACGCTCTCTGTTGAGGAGAAACGCAAAAATTTGTTGCGGATACAGATTATCCATTGTTTAAATGTCCCAGTAGTCGAAAAGGAGGCAGAGCTGTTGAGAAATGCTAAGAGCTAACTGGGCGCTAACCGTATCATTCAAATATATTGAATGTCGCAATGTTGGCAAAGAGAGGAAGTGACGTAAGATTTGCGCATGCGGGGTACCGATCGGGTTTCCGGTACGGATCGGGTAGTGACAAACCTCAGTGACTGTTTTTCTCTTCCAGTTGTCGTCAGACCAGGTGTGGATTAATGACATCACAGCCACACCTGTCTGATCCAGATTGTATTATTGCACAACTGGTTTTCAAAGCAATCCTGTTAATCATTTACTGCACTAAAATTCTGCTTTTTTGACCGCGTCACTGGAAAGAAAAACACAGTGCACCTATGCAGGTCACCCTCAGTTCTGATTGGCTGTCTCCTGGAAGCCTTCCGAGGTGCTAGGATTATGGGGAGTTTTAATACTGTATGAGAACACCAGATGAAGAACAGCTTCCGTGTTGTTCAGCAGTGACTTACTGTAACTGCGGGATGATTCCTGACCTCTCTGTCACAGGGGTCACGGGGGTCATAGGGGTCATGGGGGTCATGGGATAGAAGGGGGAGGCCCTGGTCCCCGCTCCTGATGTGGACGCCTCCTGTGTGCCCTCGGTGGTTGTGGATTCCTGGGAGTTGTGGTCCACACCAACACCGCTGTCCTGAGACACGTCCAGAGCTGCAGACCCGCCTTGCTCTCCTGGAATAACATGGCGTACAGGTGAGACACTAATGTGACTGGCTGCTAGGTCGTACACACCCACTGTCTGCTGATGTCATACCTGATACGTCATGGCTCGGTTCCTCCTGTGTGCTAAGCTCATCGGGAAGGAAACTGAGGTCAAGCTCGTCACCGGCCTCACCGCTCACTCCAGACTTCTCTGATGGGTAGGCGGGGTCCTGTGCCAATTGGGAGGGGTCATGTGAAATGAGGGCAGGGCTTTGCAGACCAAGCCCCTCCCCCAGCATAAAGCCAGAGTCCTACAGGAGAAAGAAGCCTGAATAAGAGTTTGATTATACATTTGTGTTTGAGTAATGCCACCTGTACCATCTGTCATCTTCTCCAGGTTCATCTCTTATTTAATTACCACCAGTTTCATTAATAATTACTAGGGATGGGTAAAGGTATCCGGTGCCATGACCAGACCGAAAAGCAGCGCACATTTCGGTGCTTT